CGGTAGCCTACCCATATCACCATTTTTTTTTCAACCCATTCGGGGTTTTGTTTATGTACGAACACGATTTATGGTCAGGTCTAAACAATGACAAACCAGAAGTTTCGATGTAAGGTGTCAAACTTGATAATTCCATAGCTGATCAAACGGATGGTTTAACAAAGCACCTTTCACAAAACAAATTCAACGATCGTTTACATTGTTAAAAATAGTAGAATAAACTACCTTCCATACGACAATATTTTTCCCACTATCCTCTTTTTGCAATGTAGGTAGTTACAGATAGATTATATTTTTACGAAGCCATGCACCAGTGTATTTTAGCATTGACTTTACATCTCTACACCCTATCTTCTTCCACATATGTCTAAATAACCTCACAATCTCAATCCGCATATTTCAATGGTCCTTCGTGCCGGATCTCGGGCACTATACCCTGCGTCTTACGACTTTGTCATCGTTCGCCGTACAGCCCAGGGCGTCTCAGCGCCGCCTGCCGCCCGCCGCACGACTACACAACTCAGCCTATACTGTTATGTGGCGGCACGACCTGGCCCTAGGACAATTTACTTTTTGAATGCAAATCAGCCTAGGTGATATATATTCTTGAAAAATAGCTTCACCTTGTAAAGAAGACTAGTCCGTATGCGGCGTTTCCGAAACTTAATGCAAACCAAATAAATTCAACTACACGCGTTTATTTATCATCTCTATGACAATAATATCCAAACGGAATGACTTCTACAGATCGTGGACAAACTCATTGCTAAATGTGAACAGAAACTTACAAATACATAAGATTTCTCAGTTTAAAATGTTCTAAACGCTATAATTTTTCATATAATCTACGATAAAATCCATACAAAATTTAACTTCTGATGTACAAGATATCAAATGTTGAATGATGGTAAACTTCATATTCCCAAAGACCCAACAACTATCGTAATTTTACTCCAGAAACATCAACCTAGTCCTAATTTATAGAAAACTCAAACCACAGGTTAACCATTATACATAAAAATGACGTATTTTTGTGGTACCGGTAAATAAACATTTTCCTTACAATTTACATTTACATTGCACCGAATAACGCTATGCAAAAAACACCCAAAGAACGATACACGTGATTCAAACCCAAATCCAATTAGCCAAGATATTTCGTAAATACACAATAATTGGCATCGCACTGCATGTACCAGAGCTAGAGATACTGCAATGTTCGTGCACTTCTGAGCTCACAATATCTCTCATCTCTGCTGGAGAACGTTTCACGAACTGGTGACCCGATACAAATTGAACTGCTCGACCGATAACTGCAACGCTGCATTTCAGCTCACAATAAAACACCGTTGAATATTCTTGCTGCTTAGGTTAGTTTGAACTGGACCGATAACTAACTGCAACGCTGCATTTCAGCTTACAATAAAACACCGTTGAATATACTTGCTGCTTAGGTTTGTTTGAACTGGACCGATAACTAACTGCAAAGCTGCATTTCATCTTTTACAATAAAACACCGTTGAATATTCTTGCTGCTTAGGTTAGTTTGAACTGGACCGATAACTAACTGCAACGCTGCATTTCAGCTTACAATAAAACACCGTTGAATATTCTTGCTGCTTAGGTTAGTTTGAACTGGACCGATAACTGACTGCAACGCTGCATTTCAGCTTACAATAAAACACCGTTGAATATTCTTGCTGCTTAGGTTAGTTTGAACTGGACCGATAACTGACTGCAACGCTGCATTTCAGCTTACAATAAAACACCGTTGAATATTCTTGCTGCTTAGGTTAGTGAACTGGACCAATAACTAACTGCAACGCTGCATTTCAGCTTACAATAAAAGACCGTTGAAATATTCTTGCTGCTTAAAAGGTTATTTGAACTGGACCGATAACTAACTGCAACGCTGCATTTCAGCTTACAATAAAACACCGTTGAATATTCTTACTACTTAGGTTAGTTTGAACTGGACCGATAACTGCAACGCTGCATTTCAGCTTACAATAAAACACCGTTGAATATTCTTACTACTTAGGTTAGTTTGAACTGGACCGATAACTGCAACGCTGCATTTCAGCTTACAATAAAACACCGTTGAATATTCTTACTACTTAGGTTAGTTTGAACTGGACCGATAACTGCAACGCTGCATTTCAGCTTACAATAAAACACCGATGAATATTCTTGCTACTTAGGTTAGTTTGAACTGGACCGATAACTAACTGCAACGCTGCATTTCAGCTTACAATAAAACACCATTGAATATTCTTGCTGCTTAGGTTAGTTTGAACTGGACCGATAACTAACTGCAACACTGCATTTCAGCTTACAATAAAACACCGTTGAATATTCTTGCTGCTTAGGTTAGTTTGAACTGGACCGATAACTAACTGCAACGCTGCATTTAAGCTTACAATAAAACACCGTTGAATATTCTTGCTGCTTAGGTTAGTTTGAACTGGACCGATAACTAACTGCAACGCTGCATTTCAGCTTACAATAAAACACCGTTGAATATTCTTGCTGCTTAGGTTAGTTTGAACTGGACCGATAACTAACTGCAACGCTGCATTTCAGCTTACAATAAAACACCATTGAATATTCTTGCTGCTTAGGTTAGTTTGAACTGGACCGATAACTAACTGCAACGCTGCATTTCAGCTTACAATAAAACACCGTTGAATATTCTTGCTGCTTAGGTTAGTTTGAACTGGACCGATAACTAACTGAAACGCCGCATTTCAGCTTACACTTAAACACCGTTGAATATTCTTGCTGCTTAGGTTAGTTTGAACTGGACCGATAACTGACTGCAACGCTGCATTTCAGTGTACAATAAAACACCATTGAAATATTCTTGCAGCTTTAAAGGTTAGTTTGAACTGGCCCAATAACTAACTGCAACGCTGCATTTCAGCTTACAATAAAACACCGTTGAAATATTCTTGCTGCTTAAAAATTAAAGATTATACAATTGTACAACGTAATATACACATCTTGATGGATCACCTTCTTCCCTAACCAAGATGCATTTTTTTACAACAGCCATTTAGTTTCAATAATGCGTAGCAGGAATTACTATACTGTACATTGTCACGGTACTGTAGTGTTTTTGTTGATAACTTTTTTATCTCGCCACAGATAGAGATGGAGGGGAAAAGTTACAAAAAAAAGAAAGAAAATAAAAGCAACTAAACATAGGCCTACTGTATTCTACCTAAACAAATAGTAAATATAAATTTTCTACTCAAGTAAAGTATAAACTACACGGGTTCCTTCTACTGTAATGTATCACCGGATGCACAAACTAAGCAAGGGAAAAGCTAGATCTGATACGACTAAAACTATAAACTGAAAAATGTGGGACAGACTTTCATCCCTTGAAACAAAAAAATACCCGTTGTCTCTCCAGGCGCCGTTAAGGGACCAGCGGGGTAAAAAAACTGGCCAATTTCACGGACCCTTGGCTTGTCTTGGTAAAGATCACACTATAACGAGTGAGGTATAGGCGACCTGACGGATGAGGATTAGGGTCGGCCAAACACTTAAGTCTAGTTAAATTTAGGAGCTTACACCGCACCAATAGACACAAACTTGCTTAAACACTGTGTCACACTTATAGCCCACTAGTGGAGGAAAATAATTGTGTCAATCGCTGATATTAGCGATAAATAGTACAGGAATCAGCAATATGTTATCACCATGAAAGAATTCAGTTTGAAACGTCAAATGTATAGCCTACTCTTATTTGAAGGATTGTTAAGCTAGTCTACCAACCTAAATAAACACCATCTGATAAAGAAATTCATTTTACATATCTATGAAATTATGATATAGTCATTTACATAGTAACACATACCTTTTTAACATTCCTTTGATTTTTTACACTAACTACTTAATATATGTTTACTCTTAAAATGGCCTCCTCGTTACAATTAATTAATTTCACAGGCCTCGCATGAAAATAAATTTACCAACGGAGAAATCATTAAAAAATCATAAGCCCCATTTTAAAAATATTAAAAGGTAATATACCGTCGCAAGTAGGCCCATATTATCTAACCATTGCCGCAAAAAGACTTTCCCATTATTAATTTTATTTTAAAAACACATTTCATTGCTAGGCCCTAGGTAAGTTTTTACGTTGTTTCGGTAAGTTTGTTCCGTTTAGGCCTACTTCCTTTACCGAATAGCCCAGTGATCAAATTCGTTACTTAACTAATAGATTCCATAGCGTATTATTATCAATTGTAGGCTAAGTCTAAGTATGTAGCATGATAAATTTAATGGATACCGTAAATCTTGTTTTTGTCCTATGTTTGGTTTATTTTTATTACCTTATCACAAATTATAATTAATTGATGATAAGTTCCCGTAATAAAAACGCGATTTGAGTTGTAATCTTAAATATTGTAAATACGAGTAATGGGACGAATACATTGTTTAATTCTATGTTTACCAAAGGCAAATTGCTATAAAAGTACATTAAATACAATTGAGTAAAAGACTTGCAAGATAAAATTTAAATATTTTACCACAGGCCCAGTTAGAAAAATTCCACAAATAGCTTAATACGGTATTTAATTTTTCCTAAGGTGATTTTAAAATGTATATACTGTATTTGTTTTAATCTACATGAATACTGCTCGATTTTGTTCATTACAGGTAATATTAATACATGCCTATACTACGTAGATTAAAAATAATTAATTTGCCTCTATTCTTGAACATAAATGGCTTATACACAAAATCGCAATGTAAAATAGATTTTCAGCTCTTTGAAAGCTAATGTTATAGAGCGCGCACTGCTGGATGTATTGATCCTAGCCGCTAGGTTATGTTTTGGTTCAACGGGTCTCGACATGAAAAATCCACTGAAACCTTGACGCACACAAAATACTCTCGTGCCATATAAATGTAATTATTAATCTGCCATAAAATGAGCAAACATAACGAAATAAACTTAACCTAGACGAATCCAATGAAAGTCTTACCTTTAAAAACAGCAATGTGGGATCCCTGCAACCTGGCGTTTTAGAAGATAAACAAAATCACTTCACAATCACTGCACTATCACGAAGATCGGTTTGTACTTATCTAATGGGGTTCAACGACTAGAGGCTGTGGAACCGGTTTGGACGGCTCCAGCACACTTCACTATTATATCGCTTTATTTGGATTGTTTTAACCTTTGGGAGCTTCTTCTCACTAAATCCCACCTGGTTGTGGACAATTTGTTATCCGTGCAATATCGATAGTTACTTGATCACAGAATCGTACACTTGTTTGTAAATTTACAAAATTTATTAACCTATTTGTAGATGAATTGGTGATTTTGCCCTATTTGTAGATGAATTGATGATTTTACAAGGCTTATGACACTGGTTTAGGTCAATATTAGCTTACCATAATGTACCGATCTACTCTATACGGAGTAGGCCTATGCAGGTCCAGTTTTCAAAACGTAGAAAAAATTAATTAGTTAGCCTAAAATAAACGTATTACCATGTAAAAACTATAGGTCAATAGTAAAACCGGACAGATATCCATTTCACACTAATACACACAACGCATTCTTTGTTGATATCGATTCGAACACTTTGCAGCACGTTTGAAACGCGGTAGGTGGAACAGTGGTCGTCGAACTGAATGTTTCTAGTAAACGCACTAATATAAACACTTTTATTTACCGCGACACTAAACGGTGCACTTGTTCTGTCAGGTGAAAAACAAGTCCGGCGACAACACACCTCACTCGTTTGAGAAACACTCATTGACTGAAATGCTCGTCGAGCCGACTCGCCGACTGCAAGAGCCGGGCTGAGACGTTCGGGAGTTCCCGGCGATGATCGGGCGTTTTCGGCTCTCATCAGCTGGACTCGAAGGGACCCGAGCATTCCGGACTCGGACTGAGCTTCTCTTCTCGTCATTCTTGCAACAATCAAAATACTTGATTCGACTTTTTCTGTTTGTGAAATCACATCACTCTAGTCATAACATATTTTATAAAATTTTTGACTCTGTCCTTTATACCTATAATCAAATTAATAGTTTTTTTCATGTTCTATACAGTACTTCGGTAGATTGTGCAATAATTGTTGGGGAAAATCCTATATGTTGTGGGACGATAACTTAAGTTTCATCTTGACATAAGACATTTAATGATTTATTGATCTTTAGGCAATACATACAATCGATTTTGTCATGGACGCTTGAAATGCACAAGTCAGTCTTAAGTACAACAGTAAAACATGCGACACTAAAGCAAAAAAATAAGTGTTCATTCTTGCAAACGTAGAAATAAATCCAATGTATTAGTGCATTGTACATTCTAGTGATGCATTCGTATTTAATATTATAGATTTTTTACTAAAGCCTAGGCGATTGAATGACAACTGATGATTAAAATAATAATTTAAGTAGAACAAAGAGGTGTCTCTTCCGATCTCTGTTTATTATTTTTTTATGGAATTCCGGAATGGAGAAATACCATTGGAATTGTTTAGCTAAGAACCAAAACTTAATTTAGCTAAACTTGACGAAGGTTGTTTTAACCATCCAAAGGTGCCTATTTCAACTGTAAAGAATACTATGAGAGTGTGAGCCCCTGTTTGAATTTTAATTATAATTATAACTATAGGTATTGCAAAAGCCAAATTCAAACACCCTGACAAAATAAACAAACTATTTACTCAAAAACTTAATTTAATATTTCAAAACGAACAAGTGAAACTTACTTCAACATTTAATTACACTAAACACAAAAATGTAGGCCCTATCTATTTATATAATAGAACTAGCTGACCCGGCGAACTTCGTATCGCCTAAGTTATAGGTTTCCCCTAAGACAGACCGATGGAAAGAAAGTACCGTTACGTTTAATTTTCAAGATGATCTCGTTCGCATCGCTCAATCACGTCCTGGTTGAAGTTCGTTCGCTACGCTCACTCACCTTTGGGTTGGAGCTCGTTCGCTACGCTCACTTACCTTTAGGTTGGAGCTCGTTCGCTGCGCTCACTTGCCTTCAGGTTAGCTCGTTCGCTACGCTAACTCGCCTCCAGGTTGAAGTTCGTTCGCTACGCTCACTCACCTTTGGGTTGGAGCTCGTTCGCTGCGCTCACTTGCCTTCAGGTTAGCTCGTTCGCTACGCTAACTCGCCTCCAGGTTGAAGTTCGTTCGCTACGCTCACTCACCTTTTGGTTGCAAATTAGCTGTTGTCATAAATGTAAAAGAAATAATAGTGCTGCACCCTGTTGGTAATCCTTGTAACTTTAATGCTATTGAACATCATAGAACAGAACCAACTTGTTTAATTGAAACAGCTGTTAAGATTCATTAATTCCATTTCTCATAAGGTTAACATGGGAAACTCCAGAGCTACTGGGGCGGAGCCCTTTAAAGAATTTCGAAACGGGAAATAGTTTACGTCCGATTCGCATACCTACAGAATTTACACACCAAATTTCATAACGATCGGTGAAGTCGTTCCGGAGGAGTTTGCAGACAAACACTGTGACACGAGAATTTTATATATTAGATAACATACACTGTCCTGTAAAAATCTTAATCTAGTATTTTTTCAATATTTCCCACCCATACAGATGTAATAAGATTATTGCAATAAGATTATTGCCCGTTCAAAACCCATTGGTACGTTAAATATAGTTCCTGTTAGACCAATTTTCAATATTGTGTTCCCCTGGAGAATTAGACTAAGTATTTTTCGGCTGATTGCATCCACAGCCAATCATTAAATCTATGTTTCAGTAATTATTTAGGCCTAACTAATTTAAATACGCTCATAGTGATAAATTTAAAACTGTACAAAACAATATTATACAATATTTTGTCCAACACTTTACATTTTCCCTTCGTTTTCCAGTAAAGCGAGAGAGAGGGTCCGGCTCGTTGGCACTTCATTCAAAATGATAATCAGATTTCCAGCGTCTCCCTTATCTTATCTATTTACTACCCTACATCCACCCTGCAGCCCTTACAATAGCCGCTAATCACCCACCGTATGTCGTCTGCTAGATCATTCTTATCACTCCGCTCAAAATAACTTCCAGGGGCTTTTTTAAGTTTAATGTTTGTATTTCTATTAGTTCTATCAGTACACTCTAACCCCTCTATTGTAAGGGCTCTTATCTTCCGAGCCATATTGCTTTTGCTCCAGCTTTTTAAATAATGGTAAACGGGGATTTTGAGGGATCCGATTTTGGGGTTTTGTGATGAAATAAGATGATATTCGTGGGGTTACAGTGGTGTGTTGATCAATCAAGAAGAAAACATTATTGCCTTTAAGTATTACGAATTGTCAAAATTGTGCGTTGTGTATCATGTAGCCTATATTTTCACTGAAACTAAAATAGACAAAACGTATAATATTAAATCTAATTTGTTGTGTTGTATCTTAATTAAATGTTAGTTTAATGATAATTGATGTTTAAAAAAATTAGTATTGACTAATCGACAGAAAACTATATTTCAATAGTAATTTGATTAGTATCCACAATAATCTAAACCTTTAGAGATTTCATTTTAGTACTCTTTGTAATTATATTAATTTTCCATACAATTCATATATTATTCTGATAAGTGAAAAATGTTTTTCACTCGTTTTCTAACTTTTAATCACAGTTTTCTAGACAACACCTATGCGAAACTACTGAGTAATTTTGATTTAGCATCTATAAAATGTAAAATAGGTACCATTCGTTAAAATTGTTATTTATGTGCTATTATTTAAGTGTTATTTATGAGTGTGTTAGTGTGTTATTTATGTGATCGAATGGGCACTTTGTAATTTATAAATTAATCGTATCAGCTCAAAACAATAATTTGTGTAGTATTACTGTTAAATACTCTTACACTTAATTATTATCACCCAGCTTTCCATTGCATGTTTTGTTCGTGTTTTAAACTTGCTGAACATCAACACACCCTTCCCAAGAAGTGCACACAAATTATGTATTGCCAGCCATACACAAATTACTCTCAATAACCTAATAAGTCTCCCGCACTATCTTATCAGAACCATAATGAATCAGTGACGAGTGTTTCATAATCGAACTCTTCACTTATCAACAGTATCAGTTGGGAATGATTTGTTGAAATTGGTGACGAACAATCAAAGACCGCTGATGAGCAACACTTCCACTTGCAGTTGGTGTGGTCGTTCTGGTTCACTTCAGTCCGCTAATTTATGGGTTTACGGACAGCATTTGACTGTTGTTTCCTGGAGATGAAAAGTGCCGGCTATTTCTGGAGGCTGCCATTTTCTGCGGCGGATGTGGAAATGTTTACACCGGAATGAAGAATGCTCAAAACAAGTGACAAAACACATATGGCGAGAGAATGAGATAAATGAGCTATAAACCAGCTGTTAATAATTAATGACGCTGTTTAACGGATTGTTGAAATTTCGTCTGTACAAAAATGTGTTTTCATAATTTACAAACATCTTACATCAAAATTAATGGTAAATTGTAGGGAAATTATTTAACATTCACAAACGTGCTCTAGAGAGGTTAAATTAAGGTGGATATTAACGAGTGATAGTTGTGAAATATTGGATGTGTCCTTAGAGGTTTATTACCAAACACTTTATATATTATATTTATTTCCATTGGAGACTAACGAAACTATAGTTATTTATTTATTTTTAGGGAGAGGTGCTTATTACGCACACAGGTGGCTAGCCTGTAGTGTGGGACAGGGACACCAACGGGTTAAGACCTAAAGACTACCTACTAAAAAACCTGCTCTACTCTTCGAACACTAGCCTGATAACACTTGTCGCACTTCATGATGATGGAGAACTAAAGTAACACGCTGACTTTCAAGTATCTTTCAATGTTATCTAACTATCCTAGTAGCCTACTAAGTAGGTATCTAAGTACTAGTGGAAATATGCACGTTGACTTTTAAGTTTACTTGACCTTTTATCCCAGTTCTAATTTCCTCCAAGGTATCCCCTTGGTTTACTACCACTCCATAGTCCATAGTAAGCTACAGTTTCCTCCATGTATACTCTAATGTTAGGCTTCACTGACCACACACTAATCACCACATCCCAGTTCAAGTTTCCTCCGAGTTCCCCCAGTCCTACGTCTCCATCCTAACGAACATACATGTCTACAAGGTTGCACATCTTGTAAATCAGTACCATGATTAACGCACCCCGTCTGCAGTAAACCACGGAGTAATGTAGCCTAAACTAGTTTCATTTGCAGTGTTGCCGGGTCGCCGCGCTGTTTACGTTTACCGGGCCCAATTTATGCGCAGGTCGCTCTCTGCGCTGTGCGCGCCCGGCTCACAGCGCATGCGCGGCACCTGATTTCATTACACAACAAATTGCGCCGATATTTATGGATCACGTCGCGCTGAAAGCTGTTTACTTATGTTGCGCCGCCGTGGGAAACGCGCAAACATTTGTGCGTTAAATTATTTCCATCAACGCGATCGTATTTTACCGCGTATAGAAATATTGCCTGCTGGAAAACCTGCGAGGCAAATAATACCGGGGACTTGGTAAATTGGTTGGGTGAAGCATGTAACACTGACCAAATTGAATGGTGTACCTATTTAGTGAACGTTGTCATAATAAAACCTAAGATCTGAGTACGCTTCTGCATTTTAAAAACCCATCAGAATATTATTTAAGTAGAACGTTCTATATTCAACCAGAAGACTAGAGAAATTACTTGAAAGTGCTTTCTATTATATAGTTTAC